AGTCGTTGACCTGATCATGCCGGAATCTTAATTCCCTCCAAAAAAGAGAAAAAAATCCGAATACTCAAGGATTTGGACTTACCATGTTTGCGATACCCATGAGCGCCACAAGCACAACCCTTTCATCCCCGTCATGTTTTACGATTTCAAACAATACCTCCGCTAATTTGGAATCCCCGATATTTGTCCGCAAGACACTGACAGATCGACTTAACGCACGTACGCATTGGCATGCCGCGTAGCGAACGCCCGGGCGTGTATGGGAAAGGGAGCGCGAAATGAGGGGGATTATGTTTGGGGAGTCTTGCAGTAATGCTAGACGGTTATCATCCCTATGCAGAGTCAGAGATGCTGTAGCAGTAAGCGCTGCCTGGAAAGTGGGGCAATCTGGGTTAGGACCGCGTGATCAAACTGTGGGAGAATGAAATGCACCTCTAGTAGGAGGGACATTGCCTCCGCTTCATCCTCAAACCATGGGGTCTCAGCAGGTGGAATCAACTTCTGAATCAACGCTGCCAGTGCCTTTAGCGAGCCAGAAACATACGCCGTCCGCTCCAGTTCCTTTTCGTCTGTCACGAGCTGATCTGTAATCCGTCGAAAATCAGATAACCGCACGTCGAGTTTGGCAATGGAGGGGGAAAGATGCTAACAGAGGATAAAACAAGCTTTGGCTCTGACAATTGGGACCTCTTCTTCATTGCTTATCATGCCATTCAAGACGCCAACAAGTGTATATGGTGCTTCTGAGATCCACCGTGGCGTTGGTGGAGATGCAGACGATGCTCTCAGGACATTTGTCACGCTTTGATCGTGTCAAGACCAGTTAGCGTATTCTTAACAATGACGGGAACCGGGAAACAGAGGTCGTGCCGGAAATAAATTCGCTAAAAGGGGAGGACTACGTACCATAAGCATGCAGCAAGTCTTACGAAGGACGATCGAGCTTTACAGAGATCCATGAACATGGCATAGGGTGTTTGGAGCGCAAGCGGTATAGTTTCTCCACACCCCATTAGTCGAACATTAGCAAAGTGAATAAAAGGAAGACCCTCACTATCTGCTTCTGGGGGAGGGAGACATAGCGAGCTCGCAAGAGCGTGGTTCCCCTTTGCGATAGCGGCCAGGGCCAATAGTGCCGCCTCCCGCATCTATACAGAGTGCCGACACTATGAATGCATGACGAACGAAGAGAATCATGGGATGAACACTTGCCTTGATATCGTCCCTCTTGACCAAATCCATCATTGTTCTTGCGATCCACCCACCACTTGAATGACTTTTGGTTTCAGGTTTCTCCCAACCCCGTTTTCCCTTGACCTCAAGTGCCCGCTCTGAAGGGGACATCCAATTGGCGACGCTTCTACGGTGTGTGGAAGACCGCAGAGATGATGCCAAAAGGTGGCAAATGGAGATGCTTATCCCTTGGGATGAATCCGTCAAGTACGGGAGAAAGATATCTAATGAATCGAGCTTTTTCGAATAGACGCGGTCAGGGTCAGAAGAATCACAAGGACTCGATAAAGATATTACTGACTTGAAAGACTAATTCAAGTGCACGCTTCGCGATCACAACAGTGTCTCCTTTCAGAGGAAAGGGGCCCAAGCCATTGGATTCGTTGTGTGGTCCAGCCACATTCGCAATAGCCACAACGACAGACCTGAATGCGCGAGCGAGGGCTGAGCGCAAGGCCACTGAGGCGTTTGCAGAACCGGAGGGTGCACAAATGGAAAGTGCATGCAGAAGTGCCTCGGGGGCCCGAGCGTCTAAGAGAGCCCGAACAATCTCAGGCGGACCTGTTCATAATGGTACCGAATAAGCGGGGTGGTATTGGCTACTGTAAGGGCAGGAACCTGACCAAAGCAAAGCGAAGAAAGCACATGAGAAGCCTCGATAGGCGTCCACTCCGAAGTAGGAGTGTTGGTGGATGGAGAATTAAGGCAATTTACCACACTGTACAACTCCCTTAGCGCTGCAGCCTTTGGGTGAGACGACTACCTACTGATGGACGGCGAGAGGGTCTGTCTGCACAAGCTCAAGTTTTGCGACGGGATTCCCAATTAAAGCGTTCTTCAGCGTCCTCAATCGCTCTAAAGTGTATGTTTCTGCCGCAGATTGAGGCTCAGGCAGCATCATTGCTGGTGTCTATCGGCAAACACCGACGGTGCAAGAGGACTTACATCCGGAAGCAAAAAACGGAAATTCGGGGCTGCAACTCAACGCCACCGTGAGCAGCTCCGTAAATATGGTATTTAGGCCCATAAAATTCACAGAAGTATATTACTAGTTATATTTTAAAGTGGCTTGAGAAGTCCCAGAAAAATTTGAAGATAATCAAAAATTCCAAAAGGGTAGTTTGTACAGGGGATGAATGGGGAGCTCTGGAATAAGCTAAAGGGAGATTTTACAAACATCCTGTATGCTTCACGCCGGAGCATCGGGATGGGCGCTTAATTTGATCTCTTGACTTACGCGGGTTTCGAACCAGGGCAAGATAATAGTGCTTTCTGACTGCAAACTGAATGGCTGACTGCAGACTGAATGGTTCTGGAATGTTTGTCAATATTCTTTGGCTCCTGCTCAACAAACGACTGGCATGGAGCCGTAAATCCCCCCGGTTAACTCAACTCCATTTGCTAAGGGCATCTCAAGCCGCTCAGACAAGTCATCTCGCGGTGTAGCAGAGCTGAGATCAACCACTGATCGATGAAGATCTTAAGTACCGAAAAGAAATCGCCGTGGACCAATTCATCGAGCACATGCTCGGGGGTCGCATCGATCACCCGCTAGGGGGGAGAGAGCTCATGGCAAACATCACCCTGCCGAAGAGAGCCAAGTCGGTAACACTAAAAGCTGCCGACATGATGATTCCGACTCGATCATAGAACCACAGGCGCATGCTTGTATCTTGGATCATAATGTTGATGACATGGCTGCGATATCGCCCATGAGATAGCATTTCAAGTGCATAGAAGGCACTTTGTCGTCGCTCTTCCGAATGGTCCGCGCTGGAATGAGATTTTGTGGCATGTGGTTGCCCAGAGGGCGGGCTGCCAGCTGTCCACTTCCGGGAATCTTCGTTTGACATGGATCTCATAATATGCAAGTCCGCGGTTCCGCCAGTATACCCATGGGACGGGACAGGAAGCGAACTGGACGCGCTCATCACAGCCTCTGCTTCCTTCTCGGGCTCCGTTACTTTAACCTTGAATTTGACGGACCAATGCAGATCGTCCCAATAAGATCCGACTGTGGGGCCTTTAGGGAGTTCTGCACCATGGTCAAGCTGAGGACTCTTTGTGGAAACAAGGACGACGTCTAGTTTGCGCTCCGCCACTGGGCCTTGAATGAACCTCGGATCGTTGCGACAAAATGTCAGGGCCGAGGCCTTTCGAGAATTCAAGAAGTGGTTTGCCAGGTTTGCAGATGGCTGGTACCTAGTGGTCTCTGGGCCCGCCTGAGAGTAAAATTCCTTCAGAAGCTCCTTGGTTGCCTTGGCATCACATAACTGCTTCAGGGCTCTGTCATCGATGCGACCCCCGAGCATGTGCTTGATGAATTGGTCCAAGGGGATTTCTTTTCGGTACTTAAGGTCCTCATCGATCAGTGGTCTCAGCTCTGCTACACCACAAGATGACTCGTCTGAGTGGCTTGAGATTCTCTTAGCAAATGGACTCGAGTCAACCCGGGGGGATTTTCAGCTCCGTGCCAGCCGTTTGTTGAGCAGGAACCAAAGACTATTGAATATCTTGGGGGTGCGGATTGATCGTGACGACGAAGTGGTCCGGGATGTATATCCACAGACGGGAGAAGACCTCCGGGGGCTCGAGCGTTGTCACGATCAGAATGGGGGACCTTGCTGCCAGACATCCGAGGCTCAGTACGTAGAGGGAGTGGACAAACAAGTAGCCTCTTACGTAAGTAGACCCGGAGTAATGTAGTCAGGTTCTGAAATCAGCCCAGCTGGCAATTAGATGTACTGTAATGGATAATTCTATTCACCACCCCTCTGCTGAGCACCTGCCGAGTATTTTTTGAGCAAGGGGTGGAATGTTGCATCAATGTGGACAGCAAAAGACAAAGATATAAGAGGAGAGTGCGTCCGTGGGACCCGGACCTTCCCGTTTCGAGTTCAGGGGCCAATTTAGCACTACCACCCATTCCCGGTTGCATTGCCTGAGCCGCACTCGTGCACAGGAGAAGTCAATAATTTCCTTTTTGGGAATTTCTGAGTATTGTCTTCAAATCCGCTCGAAGCTTCTCAATTAGCTGTAGAACATCACTAGTAATCTATGTGTGTTTATTTTAAGGGCCTAAACATCGTATTTACAAGCTTATGCACTCCTCAACTTGGGCCGGCGTTGAGTTGCGGCGCCGAATTTCCGGTTTTTGCTTCCGGATGTTGCCCAAAGTCCTCAACTGACCCACAGTCTTGCATAATTGATCTAGCATCGCGCTTGTGGACCTGATTCCCAGCCCTCTGAATCTGGGCGCTTAACTGATCACTTCAATTTTCTTCCATAAGTATAAAGTGGCACGAAACACTCTAAATTTGATCTAAATCTTTCGGATTTGAGGGAAATGTTGAGGACAAGGTGCAGCTGAACATGAAGGGATCCCGATCGGTGAGGAGAATAGGCTTCCCCTAGTTAAGTTATTGTTTTGTTAAAGGTTTAAATTAAGTGCCCGATGGAGATGCAAGGCACTCCCGAGATTCCGGTCTGGCATTGTCCAGCAAGATGGCTACGTGCCCCCATGCAGAGAACAGCACCTCGAAATCTCCTGTCTAGGAACCCCAAAGAATCCCCAAGTTCTCTGGGTTTGCCCAAGATTGATCAAAGTACTCAAAATATCGCCAATCACACATTTATCCCCTCCTCTGGTACCTGTCTAGACTTTTATCCCCCTCACTTGGGTTGGTGTTGAGTCGCGGTGCTTGCGTTCGCGGGTTCGGCCTCTGAGCCTAGTCGGACCGCATCACGGAAAAAAGATGTTTTCCTTTAGCCCCACGCGGGGGTCGAACCCGCAACCTTGAGATTAAGGTCGTTGCTTAAGAGTCTCACGCTCTACCGATTGAGCTAGCGAGGCATAGCCGGATATAATAACAGAACCATTGCTAATAAGCAACTCCGTTCCACCCTAACGGCAGTGCTCCCTTAGTCCCATGGCCTTCCGCAATGATATAAAAAACAGAAACAACAGGACAAGTTGGATAACCCCCCTCGGATAATCTTGGCTCGTCCGCCTCTCAGCGAGAGATCTTGGCTGTCGGGTGTCATGACAGAACGCCGAGCAATAAGGGGATAATACTACCACACTCCCAATCGACAACATAGCATGAAAGGCAATGTCGTCTCCTCGTGTCCCACACAATATGCCCACAGGGGCAGTGAATTGTCCCTCGTCTCCATGCAGGCCCACGCAAGCACGATGAACATTGACCCGGGCGGTTCCTTAAGTATTCTAGCACGGATGGCACCTGGACTACGACGATTGATGAAGCCTTCGGGATAACATCTCAACAGAATTAATTAGACGTCACATCATAAAATTTGTGAGTGCTTGAGCCCGGAAGCCGGAAACGGTACAAGTGAGGTTGAGGCCCTCAGCTTTCGCGTTTCGCCCCAGGCCTTTTCTCAACGTGCCAGGCATCAGCTAAGTCATGTATCAACAGGGATGGTCCAGGGAAGCTTCGCCAAGGGGAAATGCCATAGATGTCGAGGTTCTGGTTGTGACGCACGCGTGACCGTCACTTTTCGCGTTTTCGCGATCAAACCTGAACTTTGAGTATGTCCGGATTTGATGCAAATGCAGTGTATGCTGTCCCGGTGTTACCTCCAGATCCATCATCTACTACTTCGCGACAATCCGGGAATTTATCCCTTTCCGCCACGCGCAAACTCCTCAATGAATTCTTGATGGAGTTTCGTGTCGGAGGCGTCTTCGTTTACCGGCAAGTGCATCGCGTTTCAACGTGTCTTCTCCCTATCTCATCGCGGCAACACTTGCAGCGATCGATTGCGGGCCAATGTCTTACTGAAGCAGTATATTCTTGAAGTCGATCTCCGCCATGTTGGGCTTTTCAACGAAGAGCTGGGACACGCAATACAAGAGCGCCCTGGCGAAGTTATGCCACTCGTACGCCTCATCCACGTAAAACTCGTCATCTGTATCTTATATTCGCTTATTCAGTTCGAGAAAGCAGCCACCGACTGCGCCCGTCAAATCCTGAATCCCCGAGCGAGGAATCGCGATCCTCAACCGCGACAACCATCGCCAGGATTAGGGGATCCGGATCATGCAAACGACACTGATATCCCTCTTGACTTTCCGAATCTGCAAGTGACGATTCAGACCGGAATGAATATGATGAGCTTACGCAAGTTGACCTCCGACTCTATCACCAAGCTTATACGCACTCCTGGTATCATCATCCAAACCTCGACCTTGACGTCTCGAGCCACAAGATTGCATCTGCAATGTCGTTCATGCCGTTCGACACGCATTGTCGTTCCTGCATTCGGTCTTGGGGGTCTTGGTGGTGGCGGGCGTGGAGGAGATCAAGGTCTGCCCAGGACATGCGATACGTGAGTGAAAATTGGGCCTCCTGGACCCTCTCCATACGCACTGACATAATATTATGTCCCCAGACCGCCCCCCGAAGGACAAAAGAAGGAGTGTCCATTAGACCCGTACCAGATCATACATGACAAATGTACGTTTGTGGATAGCCAGACGATGAAACTCCAGGAAGCTCCGGACATGGTCCCCGTCGGTGAACTCCCACGGCATTTGATTATCTTTGGCGATAGGTGTGTTCTGTCTCTCATCTACAAAGTTTCACCCCGCTGAGACCGAACAGGTATTTAACATCCACCGCTGTTCCTGGTTCCCGAGTGATTGCAACCGGGATCTACTCTACATTCAACGTTGGGCGAAATGTATGGTTTTGATTATTGTTGGGTCGCCATGATTATTCCTCAGTCGTTTGTCGGCAGAAAACCTCATCCGGCGCAGTAGCCATTCGGCAACCATACTTACGACTTCTTCACCTTGAACTGGACACGTCCCTCACCACCTCACGCGGGACATTCGGCTCCCGATTCTCACCTCAGGAAGAGGAAGAGTTTACGCATTTGGCCCGGAGCGAGAACTTTTATGAACGTTTTGCACAGAGCGTTGCGCCTAGTATCTACGGCACCGTTGGTTCGTATTGCACATGGTATTCCAAGGCTAGGCCCCTGACTACTGTTTATGTACCGTAGACATCAAGAAGGCAATTGCATGTCTACTCTTCGGTGGCTCAAAGAAAATTCTCCCTGATGGGATGCGCCTTCGGGGTGATATCAATGTTTTGTTGCTCGGGGACCCCGGTACAGCCAAATCCCAACTCCTTAAATTCGTGGAAAAGGTAATCGAGCAATGATGAATTCGAGGCATCTACTGCTTTTCACAGATATCTTGCTTAGGTCGCCCCTATCGCTGTGTATACTTCCGGAAAAGGAAGTAGCGCCGCTGGTCTAACGGCTAGCGTACAACGTGACCCGATATCAGTAAGACGATACTCTTTAAATTGACGCTTGCTTGGTTCTGAAAATGATATCCCTTTTCAGCGTGAGTTCTACCTCGAAGGTGGTGCAATGGTCCTAGCAGATGGCGGTGTTGTCTGTATCGATGAATTCGACAAAATGCGGGATGAAGATCGGGTAGCGATCCATGAAGCGATGGAACAGCAAACGATCTCCATCGCCAAAGCCGGTATTACAACCGTTTTAAACTCGCGCGCGAGTGTTCTGGCCGCTGCGAACCCTGTGTTTGGACGATACGATGAAGGACGGAGTGCCGGGGAGAACATCGACTTCCAGACCACTATCCTCTCTCGATTTGACATGATTTTTATTGTCAAAGATACGCATGACGAAACCCGGGATAGGGTATGCAGCTCCTTTGGAAGTTCGCTTCCCGGAGCTAACTTTTGACGACTCTGATAGGCGATCGCAAAACACGTTCTAAACCTCCACATGAATCAAGTCAAAGCTCATGAAAATGATGACAATGTAACTGGCGAAATCGACATCGACAAGATGAAACGTTTTATCGCGTATTGCAAGACGTGAGCCATTGTGTTTGAATCACCCGCCATACTATCCTCTTACGCGTCCCTAACATAGGAAATGTGCGCCGCGATTGACACCGGAAGCAGCAACATCTCTGAGCAGCCATTTCGTCAGCCTCCGACAGCAGGTTAAAGAAGTTGAACAAGACAACGAGGAGCGCAGCTCCATTCCTATAACCATCCGGCACGGTTTTATGCATATTCTTCACTTCCTTTCGGCTGCTGACCGTGGTTGATTAACAGGCAACTCGAGGCTATCATCCGCATATCCGAATCGCTGGCAAAGATGACACTATCAACGACTGTCCAAGGGCATCACGTAGATGAAGCGATCCGACTTTTCAAAATGTCCACGATGGACGCTGTTTCGGCGAGTGGTGCTGAAGGTCTCTCGCGAGGGGCCGTGAACGAAGAAGTACAGAAAATCGAGTCTGAAGTGCGAAGACGGCTGCCGATCGGTTGGAGCACTAGTTACCAGGCACTCGTGAAAGAATTCGTACAAGACCAAGGATACAGTCAGCACTCACTTGATCGTACGCTCTATGTGCTGGAAAAGCGGGAGGTTATCCGGTTCTCAAATCAGAAGAAAGTGGTTCACCGGTCAGTAGTCCTTTGATCCTCTTTGAACTCGCTTCACAACAGCAACACTTCCATGTAGGTCTGGGGTGTGAAGGTTCGGGATGGGAAAATTGTGCCGCCGCCTGGTTGGTCGTTATTGATCGCTGTTTGTCTTCTATATTGCTGTTTTCATGTTCCAGGCAAGCTCCGGTATGGTCCATGAGGCCTTCCACCCCTATCATTGTATTGTAACAAGTGCCATTCTACTATACCCATCGCGATCAGCATTTTACACGTATTGAAACTGCGGTCGTTGTGATCGGGGGTATACACACGGATCTCACGAGGAGCGGGGCCCAAGATCCACATCCCTGAAGAATTAGGCGCCTTTGCCCAGCGGAGAAAGTTCACACGGTCCATTTGTCGTATCCAGGGCTGTAGTCGCTGTTTATGGCCACGGGTGTTGGTTATTTCTATTTAAGAACTGAATGAAAATTAATAGAGAGAAGTAATATCCCCACCTAATTTCGGCTTCAATGGAGCGAAGGGAAGATCCCTCCTAGGATACCTCACAGGCTCCCCACCTGGAAGTCGTTGAGCCAAGGGGGGAACAAGGAATTTCTCGCGGAGCCAAGGGGGGCCGGAGGAACCTCGGAGGAAGGCAAGAAGGCTATCGACTCGAATTGATGAAATAATTGAAACGCTTAGGTAATGGAACTCGGATGCAGCCGCCCGCTCCCTTCTGCCACCATAATCTCTGCCGCCCCCGAGACGGAATCCGCTGATCAAGTACCCCCGTGAGCGCTACAGCTGCCCATGGGAACTGGAATTCCCCAGCCAGTCCTCGATCTCGACAAGGCCAAGGAGCAGATTCATCGAATGCTCGCCAAGGACCTCGCAATAGCCGAGCGGGCGGAAGATATCCTGCTGAGGATAGTGTCGAAGAATGCGCGCGTGTACGAAACGGAGAGGGCGGCGCCTGGGCTCCCTGCAGTGTCTGTCTATCTTGCATGCGAGGAGTAGGTCCCCCCCCTCTCTCTCTCTCGCTGTCTGGCTGCTTCAGTCCTTTCATTTTAATTTTAATATCGATTCATTTCCGGTAGGGTTGGATGCAAGATGGTCACCCAAAAACAGTGTCAAACTGAATCGGGTTTAGGGAATAAACTATTCAAACGGACCTTGGAGATGTGTCGGGCCGCCAAGAATTTGGACGAATCGAAGATCAACTTCATATCGTTGACGAAGAAATTCGACGGCCAGGATGCGATACCGTTCATGACGAAAATTTTTGCCCATTTCAAAGACAGTTGTTTTGAAGCCGGTATTGTTGACAAAGCTACCTGGGATGCCAACTATATCTTGGTCCTTTGCGCGGTGTTTTGTTGGACATGTGACCGAGTGGCCGCGGTCCGTA